CCTCCCCCCTTTTTTTTGGGGGGGGGAGAGGTTTTTGCTATAGGGAGCATGCGCTCGCCAGAAAGACAGAGAGACATTCTCCTCTTGGGATCTTGGGCACACACGCACACGTGCCCGGTGTGAGTTGAAGCCACCGGGTCTGGGACTCGAACTGCAGTCGGCCACATGGGAGTTCAGTGACATAGCCATTACGCTAACTGCTGGTCCCCAGATTCACTAAGTTTTAAAAAAGCAGAAACAGGTACCATGAGCTGCTGGTGGCACGTCATCACATACAGGAAGAGCCTGTAGAAAGGAGTTGGCAGCCGGCTACGTGGTGTACTGGTTCAGGCGGCTGGATCCCGGCTGACGGCACTGTCTGAGTCTCGGCCCGATGGCTTGAAAACCACTGGCCCATGTATGCAGGTGTCCGAATCCCAAGAGGAGAATGGAGAAGGGATGGAGGGTGGCCATCCCCCTGGAAGGTGTTCTCTCACTTTCCCCTCTCTCTCTGTCTCTCTCCTGTCTCACATGCCCTATAGCAAATTTTTAGTCTACAGACTTAGGCTTGACTCCTGTCTCTGCCCCCACCTGATGTGTCTGGCCTCTGTCAAACGGGTGTTCCTACGATGGGCCCCACAGAAGGGGAGACTGGAGGTTGGTGAGGCTCCTCCCCATCCTCCCTGGTTCTCGGCAGGCCCCCCAGCCCTGCTTGCAGCCATCAGATTCCCCAGGACCAGACAGATCCGCAGGGAGTCACAGAGCTCGGACCCATCGAACTTTGGCCAAAGCAACCTGTGATCGCAGCTTTGATTCTCAGAGGGGAACTTGGGGGTGGCCTCAACCCCTAGGGAGATGGGGAACCACCAAGAGAAGAGGGGGAGTTTGGGTGGGAGGGGCTGCCTAAAATGCACGCAGGGGACTCCCAACCCACAACACCCCCACTGCCCCAGGCTGCAGCCGGGCTCCCGCAGCCTTCTCTCCCACACGGGCTTGGGGCCTCCTCCACCCTGGGCTCCTCAGCCTCCGCTCTGCTCTGGTGATCTGCCCTCGTCTGTCATCCTCTCTCCTTCACATCCGGGGCCCTTGGTGTATGGGGGGCAGGGAATACCCCTGCTCTGTGGACGCTTTCTTCAGGAGATGGAGGTGGGGAGCTTTTATCCTTTCCAGGGCTGGTTGGAAGAGAGTGGAGTCCCAGATCTGAGTAGGACTCCTCTGGTGGGCTCCCCCGAGCACAGCTGGGGGCAGGAGAGCTGGCTGTCGTGGTTCCGACTAGGCCTCCCAGCTCTTAGTCTCAGCGGGCAACTGCTGCCCCGGACCTCAACTTCCTCCTTATAACCTGGGCAAGAAAGTGAAATGCCCCCACAGGACAGGGAGCGGGTTACGAGGCCCAGGCAGGGAAGACCCATCGGTGGCCACCGTGGCCACGGAAAGCCGCCTGGGCCAATGATTGACGCCTCAGGGCCTGCACAGAGGGCCACACGAGGTGAGTGCCGGATGGGCTGTCCAGCCTGGAGAGGGGGCAGAGGCAGCCACATTCACGCTGCACGCCCCTCTCGCCCCAGCAAAGCTTCTCAGGCAGCGGTGCCGTGGCATCTGAAACAACACGGCGAGTGACAGGGCAGGACGGTGCTGTTCCGCCAGCCCATGTGGCACTCCAGCCCCTGTTTGCCGTCCTGATTCTCACCAGATCCAGACCGACCTGGGTTTGCATGGGCACTGCTTAACCACCAGGGGTGTGACCTGGAAAAGGCTCATGCCCCTATGAGCTCTAGTCTCTCACCTCCAAAACATGAGCAGGGACAGCACCTCCCCGGGGCTGCTGTGCTGACCGGATGACAGGCTCACAGAGTACTGCAGTGCAGTGAAGGCCCGATCCTCCCTGACTAGGCCAGAAAGCAGGCACCCTCTGGAGGCAGGTCTGCAGCGCTGCCATAGCTTCGCTCTTAGAGGTGAAGGAACTGAGGCCCAGGAAGGTGACGGGACTCACCCAGGGTCACCTGACTGGTTGGGGGGGAGGTGTGGTTTGTCTACGTGATTTCATGCACTTCAGGATGGATGGTACAAGCTGGACCCCACTCGCCCCAGCCCTGCTATCCCTTGGCCATGTGACACAGAGCAAGGCACTGCCACTGCTGAGTCTCAGGTTTCCTTATCTGCAAGATAGTGTTGTTTGTCTCCCTTCGAAAGGTGTCCTGTGTGTCTCCCGCTTGGGGACTTTTACATGGATAAGGGGAGAAAGCAGAAGCTATTCAAAGACAACCCTCCCTCCACCCCGTGCTCAGAGCCTGAGCTCAGTGAGGTCAAGCCGGTGTGCCAGGAGGGCCAGGAGAGCAGAGCGTGCACCTGCTGTCCAAAGCCAAGGAAGGCCGAGATTGTCCAGACTGGGACGGGCCAGAGGTCATGGCCCCTGAGTGTCAGAGGCCTGGGCTCTGCTAGCTGGAGCATGGAGGCACATCAGGGGAAGTCGCTGGGTGGTAGTCCTGGAGGTCCAAGGAGGCTGGGCTTCAGGGCATCAAGCCCATTCAGAAAGGAGCATCCATCTAGGAGGAGTCGGGGTGGCGTGAAGGCCGAGCCTCCCTCACCCTTGTGCTCCGTCCGTAGCCCCAAGGGTCAATGTGCGCTAGTGCAAGGTGAGGAGGAAGGGGGGAGCTCAGTGTCCACGGAAGTCAGATTCCCGGGGAGCCAGGACGATGAGCGCGGGGTCCCAGTGAATGGGATATAATAATCAGAATAAATGAAACAACGGGTCCCGCACGTCTGAGGCCACAGTGCGGAGGAGGTGTGGTCACAGGTGCGGTGAGCCAGGAAGAGTGGGCGGGGCTGCGGGCTCAGGGGGTGGAGCCAGCTGTCTTGCAGACTAAAGGGCGGTCACCGGCCAAAGGGGAAGCACGTGCTCCACTGGTAGACCGTGAGGCCGGGGCCCAGGCCAGGTCAGGGGCACTTCAGTGAGCCGGAGGGGGTGATGGAGCTGCAGCTGCGGTGCTGGGCTGTCACCTCCTGGGCCCCTCCTCTGCCTCAGCCTTGGTTTGTGCCCTCAGGTGTCTGCGCAATGCCCGTTTAGGGGAAAGCCTGTCTCGCCTCATCCTAGTCTCTAATCCGGCAAGGGCAGATGGGGCGAAGACTGGCACCTCCCACGGCTGCCCACAGAGCCCCGGGTGGGTACTTCCCCACGCCGGAATTGCCAGCACACTGGCCGCAGTGGTAAGCGGTGTTCTCAGGTTTGTGTTTCTCAGAAGAGGAAGCAGACCAAGTCCGGTAACTCGCCGGAGGCCACAGCAGTACCTAATGGCAGAGCTGGGATCCGAACCCAGGCACCAGGCTCCCGGTGCCTGAGGTAGTGCCCATGTCACTCTGAGCCTCAGGTTCCCCACCTATAAAACGACACTGACCTCAGCAGGGACTCTCTAAGGCCTCTTTCGGGGTCCTTTCCTGGCCTGTCATCTGCCAGGGAAGCCTGCACTTTGAAGACAGCATGTCCTGGTGAGTACTGTGTGGGCTGTGAAGCTGGAATGCTGAGGCTGGGGCCCCCGCTCTCACGGAATGGCGGGACTTCACGTAAGTCCCGAGCCCTCCCTGTGGAGAGGACAGGAGTAGCAGTGCTCGTCTGCACAGTAGCCGTGAGCGTGAAACCACGAGAGGTCCTGACCGCCAGTCTGTGCTGGCTCTCCTTGGGGTGCAGTGAAAGCCAGCGCCTGACCCTTGGTCCGACTAAGAAGGAGACACCACCAGCCCTGAGCACTCAGAGACTGGCCCTCCCTAACCTGTGTCCTGATAGGACCTCCGTCTCCTGCTCTAACAGGCCCATCCGGCCTCTTCCACCCCGATGGAGGGGCAAGGTAAGCACACGGGTTTTCTGAAATGAGGAAGAGGCTTAACATAGAACAACAAGGAAAGCTACTCACGGGGTCTGAGCTGGGCTCCGGGCACTGGCTGGGCGTTGCGGACCCTGCTTGTTCCGCGTCTGCTCCGAGGACTTGGCCCTGGGTCCCACTCGGAGCTCCGTGGGCTGCCACCCCAGCCACTTTTCTCTTGCTTTTGCACTTTCTCACAGATGAGTGCGTGTGAGGCGGTCTGGCTTTCCGTCCCTGTCGCCACTTCCCCTCTGGGTCCCTGGTGCCACAATGGTCTTGCTCCTGCAGTTGAGTTCCTGCTTATGAGGCACTCTGGTCAGGGCAGGGCACAGGCTTTGAATTCTTCATTCGTCTGTTTATTTAGGTTTTTGTCACAGGGTGCGTGCACTCACCAGAGAGAGAGAGAGAGAGACACGGTGAGAAGGAAAGTGAGAAGGAAAGTGAGAAATCACCCCCCAGGGGGATGGCTACACCCAATCCCATCTCTTCCATTATGCTCTTGGGATTTTAGGCACACACACACACACACACACACACACAGACCCGGTGTGATTTTCAAGCTGCCGGGTCGGGAACTGAACTGTGGTCAACCTGTGGAAGTCCAACGTCTTAACCACTTTGCCACCTGCTGGCCCCAGGGTACTTGGATTCTAACCCAGCCTATATGTGATGGCATTGAGTGAGTCACTCAGCCTTCCTCAGGCTTGGTGTCTTCATCTGTGAAATGGGGATAAACAGTCTTACAGTCAATACATGCCCCAGAAGGACCTCCCATTCCAGTGCCTCTTTCCCATTCGACCAGAGCTTTGAGATGCGAATGCCCACAGGCAGCAGGCAGATATCAGAACCGGGAACTGGTGTGCGACAAGAGGGAGTGGTGAGGACTGTGGGGAAGGGCAGGCAGGGCCGCCATCTTCCCACTGGGGAATGCAGACTCCATTGCTGAACGTTCCAGGTGTCTGGAAGAAGCACCACACTCATCAAGAGATGCTAGACATCCCGGCTTGGACGTGAAAGCCTCCAATTTCAGAACGCAGGACATGACATCACAAAAATAGCTTATGAGCCATAGGAAACACTGTTTTGGGCCAGCGTGGTGGTTAAGGCAGCTGGATCCCACATGGCTGACTCAGCAGTTCAAGTCCTGGACCTGGTGCCTGGAAAACACTGAGCACATGTGAATGTGTGCCCAAAACCACAAGCGGAGATTGGAGAAGGAACTGCGGTGTGGCCATCCCCCCGGTGGGTGATATCTTGCTTTCTTCCCCTCCTTCACCCTCCCCGCAAGCATGTGGGCCCTGTAACAAAAACTAAAAACAAAACAAAAAAAGAAAAAAGATATAAAGACTTCATTTTATGCCTGTTAGAGAATGTGTGTCTAATGTTTAGTCCTGGGCTCAGTAAACACAGATATCATACCCAATATGATTCAGAGTGTTTTCACGCCCATTGCCAGGTAAAATGTTTAACGAGAATCAACACAAAAATGAGAAAATACAAGAATTAGTATGACGAAGCTCTTGCTGTCCGAGGGTCACGACCTACTCGCATCTCCTCAGGTCGGCTCACTCGCTGCTCCCCACACCCCGACCCCGAAGGATGCGGATGCGTCTGGGCCAGCTGCTCTACGGGAGAGAGATTTTGTCCCCGAGGCTGAGCTGCCTAATTTGGCAAGTAAATACATGACAGCCACGTGTGAGGCCTACATAGAGTACAACATGATTTGTTGTTTATGTGAAATCGACATTCAACTGGATGCCCAGTTCAACTAGATTACACCACCACCCTGCGCAGGGGACGGGCAGCCATCTCTGCAGACTTGGGTGGTCACCATGGGGGGATCTGCTGACACCTAGTGGACAGAGGCCAAGTGCAGCTAAATGGCCCAGAGTGCAAGGACACCCCCTGCGGCAGGAATTGCGCAGGTCAAAAGTTACTATGTGGGCCAGCTATGGCTTGGTGGTTACTGTGGCTCCCACATGGGTTCCTGAGTGGTTTGAATCCTGGACCTGGCGGCTTGAAAAACACACCAGGTGCATGTGGGTGTGTGCCCCAGATCTCGAGAGGAGAATGGAGAAGGGATTGCGGTGTGGCCATCCGCCCTGAGGGGTGCTGTCTTATCTTCTCTCACTCTCTGTCTCTCTGGTGAGCACACATGCCCAATGGCAAAAAAAACCCCTAAAAAGATAAACAAGAAAATGCTACTAGGCGAAGGCTGGGAAGGAACCGGTCTAGACCCGGCCCTGGCCCTGTCAGCATAAGCCTGAAGTGAGGAGACCGGTAGCTTGATAGTCAGGCCCTTTGTGAGACCACAACTCTTCTGAGTCTCCTAGGGGCGAGAAATCGACAGTGAGGAATGGGACGAGAGAGCCCTGGAGCGAAGGAGCAGGGAAAAGAAGGCCCGAGGGAGCGGGAGCAGGGGCCCTGCAGCCCAGACCTCTCTGGGCCAGACCGGAGGCCCCCGCGGTGAGCGGGACAGAACTAGCCGAGGCTCCCATGGTCCTGAGTCCCAGCCCCCATGGTGAGGAAGGGCGAGGCTGCCCCCAAACGCTGGCCCCGCCATTGCAGACAGAGTGTGTAAGGGCCAGCCAGAGGCATGGACAAATGAAGGCAGGAGGGAGAAAGTGCGAGTGGAGACAGACGTCGTGGAATCTGAGTCCCCTGCACTCCTGCTACTGCCCAGCTATGTGACAAGCCACTTCCTGTGGTCTCAGTTTCCCCATTCTTAAAATGAGGAAGTTGGAGGTAATACTTGCTTCTGAAATGTACGTGTGTGTCAGAATCACCCAGAGGGCCTGCTGAAACGCGCATCCGCCGGCCCCACTCCGCATGTGCCGAGTCTGCGTTCCAGTCTAATCGGCGAGAAATAAGAAGACATCCGGACAGAGCCAAATGCATTGCAGTTTTATTTATTAAACCAGTGGCTTATGGGGGGACTCCTGTCTCTCAAAACCCAGCAGCCCCAAGTGAAAGGAGGGAGGTGCTTATAAAGGCAAAAACCACAATCACTTCTGGGTTGATATGGTGAATACAATGGAAACTGAGGAGGGGGTGAGGAGGAAAGGGAGTAGGGTCCCCATGCGACAGCAGTTACAGAAGCCGGATGGAGCAGGTTAATCATTTCTAAGGGCTCCCTCCAGACCTTTGTTTAATGGGCCCCGTGGTCCGGACAGGGGTCTGGTGATTGGTGATTACATTGCCAAGGAACATCTAAACAAAGGTTTGGGGCTGCTTGGTAAAGACAGTAAGAAAATTAATCACTCTATTTTCTCTGGACAAGAGGGGGAAGCGAGTAGAACGTAGAGTTCAACGTAGAGTTCTGCTTCCTCTGCACTCCTCATGAGCTCCCCATGGAGGCAGTGCTGCAGATCCTGGGCCCGCCTCGGGCAGCGCCGGACAAGATGGTTGGTAAGGCGCTCCAGGATCTCAAGGCCTCTGAGTGCCCTGGCTGACATGCAGGAAGGCTGTCCTCCCTCCTCCTGCAGGTGAGGGCCTTCCTTGATGAGAGCTGGCCTCGCCAGCCCTCGGTCTATGAGACGCCTCCATCTGCCGGGTGCATTGACCCACTCAGGTCCTCAGCGAGGGGGTCAGGAGGAGGAGCCTCCGTCGGAGCTGTGCTTTGGGATCAGGTCTCCAAGAAGCGGCCTTCGCCGTCTGGGCTCAGCGTGCGTGTTGGTGGCTGTGTGAAAACAAAACTGTCTGCAGGCATATGGGCTAACTTATTTTCACCACGCCGTTGCTATATTTTTTCTTTCAAAATCCTGGCATATGGTTATGTTTGTAAAATTATTTTTAAAAATTAATTTATTGGGCCAGCAGATGGCATAGCGATACATTGCCGGACTCCCACATGGCCAACTATAGTTTGAGTCCTAGACTCAGTGGCTTGAAACTCATGCTGGGCACATGTGTGTGCGTGCCCAAGATCCCAGGAGGAGAATGGAGAAGGGATCGTGGCGGGACCATCCCCCCCGGGGGGTGATTTCTCAATTTCCCTCTCATTGTCTCTCTCTCTCTTTCTCTCTCAAGTGAGTACACACGCCCCAAGGCATAAACCTCTATGCTCCCGTACCAAAAAGAAGAAATTAATTTATCTATTTTTTTTTTGGAGAGATTTTCACTGTAGGGCGCGTGCGCTCGCCAGACAGAGAGAGACATAGAGACAGAAAGCGAGAAATCATCCCCCAGGGGGGATGGTCACGCCGCAATCCCTTCTTCTCCATTCTCCTCTCGGGATCTTGGGCACGCACGCACACGCACCTGGCATGAGTTTTAAGCCACCGGGTCCGGGACACGAACCGCGGTCGACTACGTGGGAGTCCAGCAACATAGCCATTACGCTAACTGCTGGTTCCCAATTTATCTATTTTTTAATCCATCTATTTTTAATTGCCTAGAGGCCACACACACTTAACAGAGAGAAGGAAAGTGAGGAATGATCCTCCAGGGGGGTGGCCACAGCCATCCCTTCTCTGTTCTTCTCCCAGGATTTTGGGCTCACGTGCACACGCGCCCTGCATGGTTTTCAACCACCAGGTCACCCACACAACCACACAGCCATGTAGGACCCAGCAGCCTTAACCTCTGCGCCACCTGCTGGCCCCCGCAAGGACATTTTTAAAGTTAAGGCTACTTGTCAACCAACGGGGTTGACTATGGTGGTGGAGAGTGGGGTGGAGGAAAAGGGTAAAAGAAGTTCAACCCATCAATGGATCGATTCTATGAGTGGGGAATGACGGTGAGTCATAGGCTGATGGGGTCTGCTCAAGACAGTCAACTCACCCAAGGGTCTCCCTATCCAAGTGATCATTCTTATTGCAGACATGTTGGAAAATTCTACAGACAGGTAAGAAAATAAAATACCTCTTGATCCCACCACAGGGAGGCAGTCACTGCTAACAAGTGTTTCTCTCGAGGCCAGCTGGAGGCAGCAGGTTAGGAGGCTAGATCCCACATGTCCGATTGCATGGTCTAAGTTCCGCACTCAGTGGAGTGAAAACCGCGCCAGGTGTGTGAGCACGTGTGCCCAAAACCCTGCGAGGAGAAGGGATTGCAGCATGGCCGCCCCCTCGGGGTGCTTTCTCACTTCCTCTCTGTGTCTCTCTGTTTCCAGCCAGCGCATGTGCCCTATGGCAAACTACAAAAAATAAAATAAAAAATAAAAAAGATGAACCTCAAACAAGAGAAGTGTTGCTCCAGGCGGCCTCATATCCAAGCAGAGATCAGAGAATGAGGGGGGCACAGCCTGCCTATGGGGGCTCTGGGGACTGAGGAGAGAAGATAGCTGAATCAGAGGGATCGCTAGAACCTGTCTGGAGCCAGACTTTGGGCTTCCAGTAGCTGAAAACTGCCTGGCCCCGCACGTGGGTATTTGGAACTGCTCTCTGTTCTCGGGCCTGGCCGCAGCCCAGTGGTAAACAGT